CTACCTGGCTACGTTTAACGAACGCTCTCTGCGGTTGAACGAACACCTTGCCGAACTGGAAGTAAGGCTAAATCATATTAACTGGCACATAGTGGGTCTATCGGAAATCCGAGGGCAGGGTGACGATACGATAGCACTAGATGCTGGTTACTTGCTCTACTTCCGAGTAGGACATCAACTATCCCGAGGTGGTATCGGATTTCTAATGTATACAATGTACAATTTATAATGTATACACAAGTCGCTCAGACACGTCATAATGGTGGTTGGCAGTGTGTCGGCTAGGATAGCGTACCTTGTAATAAATGTGAGCGAAAGATACTCCCTAAAAGTGATACAGGTGTACGCCCCAACGACTTCACATCCTGACGAAGACGTCGACGCCATGTACGAGGATGTATCAAAAGCTATGTACAGTACCAAAACCTTCTACACTGTGGTTATGGGTGACTTTAATTCCAAAGTGGGAGTACGCGAGCATGGCGAATCGAGAGTAGGAGCATTCTGCTATGGGAGCAGAAATCACAGGGGGCAAATCCTAGTAAACTTCCTCGAGAATCGGGGGCTATCTAATGAATTCCCACTACCACAAAAAGCCTTAGAGGAAGTGGACCTGGCTTAGCCCCGATAAGGTGACTAAAAATGAGATCGACTTCATTATGTCCAATAAGCGTCATATATTCAAGTATGTCTCAGTGATCAATAGGGTAAATACCGGTAGCGATCACCGTCTTGTAAGAGCCACCCTGAATATAAACATCAAGATCGAACGTGCGCGACTGATGAAGGCGACTCTGAGGCCATCACTGCCCCAAGTTGAAACTGAATGTAAAAATTTTCAGCTAGAGCTACAAAATCGATTCGCCTTGCTGGAAAACACGCAGGATATTGACGACGCTACCAATAGTCTGACGCGGACCATCCGCGAAGTGGGAGAAAAATATTTTCGACGGAAGAGCACTGGACGAAAGTCGAAGCTCGTAAGCGAGACTCTTTAGGAGATGAAGAAGAGACGAGAGGTGATATTTGCGATACCTTCTGAGCGGCAGGTTCTTAACAGGAAGGTTAAGAAACTGATAAGGCGAGATTGTAGACGAGCGAAGACCCGAAGAGCGAAGAAGATTGAAAATCTAATATCGCACAATGGAGGCACAAAAGTCTTTCCTAAGTTTCAAACCTCCTGCTGTCACCTGTCAAAACTCACAACAGCTCATGGAACCACCGTCACCTCTGAACCAGAGATTCTCGCTGAAGTCGAAAAGTTTTATAGGGACCTATATACTTCCCGAGTACCTCCAACTCACTCCCACAACGCGGATAATCCACGCGCCACCTGTCAGACAAGCTTCGAAATGGGCGATTAGTATTGCCATCAAACAACTTGGGATCAACAAAGCTCCGAGAGAGGACGGAATTACGTCAGAACTATTGAAAGTAGGAGGCACACCTGTATTGGTGGAGCTGGCTAAGCTCTTTAATTCCGCCCTATATGGCATTACACCGGAGGCATGGAGCAGAGGTGTGGTTATGCTGTTTTTCAAGAAGGGTGATAAGACTTTGTTGAAAAACTATAGACCAATATCACTCCTGAGCCATATGTATAAAGTTCTCGAGGGTTATAAGGAATCGTCTCCCCCAAAAATTCGATGACTTCTAGCCCGTGGAGAAGGCCCGGGTTTCGAAAAGATTTCAGCACAGTAGACCACAAACGGTGGCAGGGTCACGCAGCAGCCTCGGCTGTTGCACTGTTGAATGGGCAGGCTCGTCTGGGTAAGTACCACGACCTCACAGAAGACCGGCGTAAAGTGGAAGTATAATATTTTCGCGTTTCGTCTGGTGAGTGATGTGGCCAGAGCCCAATTTTCAAAAGGTTGTCAACGCATCTGGAACCCTCGAGTGTTGCAAACGTCCATGGGCGGCGGTATTTACTTAACATCAGGTGAACCGTCTGCACGCTTGGCAACTTATCACATAAAAAAACATACATACACTTAGGCAAATAATTCAGAAGACCGAGGAATACAACCAGCTTCTATGCCTAGCGTATGTGGACTACGAAAAAGCCTTCGATACAATCGAGACCTGGGCTTTTCTAGAATACATGTGGAGATGCCTAAACACAATACACCTACCTTGGCCAAACTATACAACTAGGCCGGCACAACTTTGAGAAAGACGCCAACCGAAGAATACGCTTAGGCTGGGCGGCGTACAGGAAGCTACGACACATTTTTGAATCGTCAATACCACAATGCCTCAAGTCCAAAGTTTTTAACCAGTGCGTCCTACCAGTAATGACCTATGGAGCCGAAACGTGGACACTCACCGTGAGGCTGGTCCACAAATTCAAGGTTGTTCAGCGAGCGTAGGACTCGCAACGCTTGGGATTTCTCTGGTAGACAAGATACGAAACGAAGTCATTCGCCAGAGAACTAAAGTTACCGACATTACTCGCAGAATTAGCACGCTGAAATGGAAGTGGGCTGGCCATGTCTCCAGAGGTACTGATGGTCGCTGGAGCCGACACGTGTTAGAGTTGACACCACGGCTAGGGAAACGTAGTGTGGGTCGCCCTGCAGTACGATGGACTGACGACTTAAGAAAGGTGGCGGGCAACGGATGGATGCGGGCTGCCCAGGACCGGGATAGTTGGCGCACTTTGGGGGAGGCTTACGTTCAGCAGTCGACGGCAATAGGCTGATATTGTATTGTATATTGTATAGTTGGGTAGTTGTTTTGCTAGACCATATTTTTACGCGAGATGCCAAATAAAACGTTTTTGGACGCTTTTTAGTCTTTTTACATAAATGTTGTAAAATGGGTTCCAAACAACGCTGCAGTATGCCAACCCACTGCGAACGAAGGTGTTATATAAAATTATGCTAGTCGAAGGATTTTTGAAATTTCTCGAATTGCGCATGATGAAACCTTAATTCTTAAAAGCGTTTTTACAGATTTTATCGATGTGACAATGAAAGCGTAATTTACTATCAAGATGGACACCCAAGTCACGAATTTCGGAAGTTCTCTTAAGAGAAATGTTCTTAATATTAGATTTGCTTCGGGAACGGGATTTCAGTGAAATCATCAATGATATTTCGGCGAAAAAAGCTCGGAAAATTCCGTCAGTTAACGCTGTTCCGGTTAATTTTACTCAAATCTTGTTTCCGATTCTTGCTTTCACAATAAGTTGTGAATTGTTCACAATAAGTTGTTATTTCACAATAATTTGTGGCCAAGGGGCCTCCACTTCTTTGTTGCCCCGGGGCCTCCATACCTCTAAATCCGGCCCTGTTATTAAGCTCCTGTTTTTATAGGCAATGCAATACCTAAAGACATATAAGACACTTCACGGCAACAACTTTACAAGAAAAAGTGTTCGAAACGTGGTGAGCGGTGGAGCCACAGACCAGGTTGGGGCTTGGAGGCTGGCTGCTTATTAGCACTGGGTCTCCTGACTCCCATGGCTTCTGATCAGCGAATTTGGGGGTGTTCGTTGGCTGCGAAAAAGGGGCCGAGTAGGGAGGCCTTACCTGGAGTTGCTTCTCAGGAGAGGGCTGCTGAAGCAGCTAGCACTGGTAGAGTCGCGGTAGTATTCGAAAGGGTTCCCGTGGCCCTGCCGACATGCGCTTAGGTGGAATATCGTGAGGATTTTAGTCGGTGCGGGTCCGACATAACCTGCTCTTGCCCCCCGCGAGGGCAGGTATGCGTAGGCATTTCCCCCCAGGTAGACAAAAAAAGACCTGAAACAATTATCACTCAATTAAACAGATTTATATAACCTTTAGTTTTTACAAAATCTGTTTTCCACTTTTTGTTCTAAATAATCTAACACATTTGTTGGGTGGGCAGTAAATATACACTCGTAGTCCTGGGATAGATCACTACATAGTCGTTTCATCCAGCCAAATGTAGTACGTAAGTGTTGAGAAGGTTCCGAGCGTCTATTTCTGGCACAAATTGTTCACATTATACAGAAAGTGACTCTACAGTTGTTTTAAAATAGGACTGATTCTTAAAGCGAGCTGGTGGTTCACCTGATGTTAAGCGATAACCACCGCCCATTGGCATTTGCAACACCCGTAGGGTTACAGATGCATTGCCACCTTTTAATGAAGGCTACTTACCTCACTCACCAGAGGAAATGCGGAAGTATAACACTTTACGCCGGGCTAATGTGAGGTTTGTGTTACTTTACCCAGACGGACCAGCACGTAATACCAGAGTAGACTATTACAGGGTAACATCAAAAAGCTGTTTCGTTTCAAAGCTCGGAATTCCAGGAACGGGAATTTTACATTTTAAAGCCTGTTGAAACGAGTTAAAATCGATCTGGTCTATTTTTGGTCCTGAAATTATAACGTTTTTGAAAAAAAAATATCATGTTTTGATGTAATTTTTTTTTTTTTCAAAAATTGTATAATAATTTGCTATATTGAAATGGACACAAGATTTTCCTTCTTTGTTAAAACTACAAATGTCTTTCTTTGACTACTTACAATTGAATGTCCGAACTTGAATACAGAAAAAAGGTTTCCGTTTCTTCAAATCCAGACATATTCACAAAATATGCTCTGAGTTAACAGTTTATTTTTTTTTAAGTACACACACTTATACATGACAATCAAACTTAGATTTGAGTGTAGAAAACTGTCTTCTTTTCATTTGCATCATGCATTACATACATAGGTATCTAATATTGCGTTATTTATTTGTTTTGTGATATTACATTAGATAGCTATGAAAGGTAAAAATGTTAGCAAAATTATATAGGTAATTAATTAAAATCTATTATTGTACTTATTGTCCAGCGAGATATGCGTATATTTCTCAAGATGATGACTAATGTATGGTTTAAGTCCCTATGAGATCTGTTTGTTACAGTCGATATCAGTAGGACTGTACAAATACACAGTTATTCCACATTTATAAGTGATTCGTAGATATAACTAGTTTATTAGTTCGTCGCTGACATTTCATGGTGCCACACATCCCGCAATATGATCGGTCTCCTCATTTCCATAGTGTTATTAACGGTCGCTGTAATGCGACTCTACAATAACGCTTATAAAAGGCCGGTCAATTTTCCCCCAGGTAAGATATGCACAGTCACTTGTAAAATTTTATTGGGAACGTTTAAGTTACATTTTCCTCGAAGTGTGCTTTTCCAATTTTAACGCCTTTGTTTATTAGTCGTCACGATTACATTCATAATGGGAACATACGTTTAATTACTCAAACGCAAGTTATGCTGACTGAGTAGGGTTTATGTGGACTTAATTTTTAACCATTAGTATCCTAACGAAAGCTGATTTGTTTTTTCATCAAATCACCCAAAAGTGGCCGAATATTTGGCACATCTTATAATTAAAAAAAAATTGTGAAGTGGTAAATTTTTGATAATACTTTGCGAAAAAAAAATCCTGCGACTTCGTTACGGAATATTTTTATTTTCCGATAAAACTACCACGAGTGTACATAAAATCTACAGAAGGCCCTTGATTTACCAGGTTTACTCAAATTCTATTTAGCAACAAGACTGAAGACCCGAGACTGAGTTAGGAATTTACCCGCTTACAACATTATCTCAATCACTTGACTAGTGGACTGTAAAGTTTTGATGATTGTGAAGCAATATCTTGTTAATAATAAGATAATAAGTTATTATTTAAGAGTCGTGTGAAAATTCTGGCCGATACGACAAACATATTTTTATCTATATTTATAATTGAGCGAATAGAAATAAAGATTGAGAGAATGATTACTGATTGACCCGTATGAAATTACCTACCGTGAAAAAGTCACAGAATGATGATATATAAATGTATAAAAAAGTATGTATCAATGAAATGTAAGATACAGTTTGAAGGATAACGTTTTTCATACACCTTTGCTATCTTTCATTTAAACAAATTGGCAATAGATGGCATTATGATGCATTCTTTATAAGAAATTTTTGAACGAAAGTTTTTTCTATAAAAACATTCTCGACCTGTTTAGTTCGTCGTGTTTGAATCATTTAAACTGTTGAAAAAGTATGGTATGAAAGTCATGGCGTTCTGACAAAACACCCCATTGAAAAATACTTTAATATAATTATTATATTGAAGAGTGTCTATAGATTATTTTTATTACTCAATAGAGTGTCTAGATATATAACTTTTCGTATGATTTTATATTTTACAATCAGAACATATTTTGAATAAAATTATCATTGGAATGTGTAAAAGAAATTTTCAGTTAAATGTAATTTTTGCCACTACTCTTAAATAAAAGTGGCATATCCGAAATTAAGAAATGGCAACGTAATACAGAATATTCATATCAACCCGCAACAATCTGCGAAATAACAAAGATTTGTAAAATGAAAAGACGAAAAATGTTGAGCTAATGCATAATCAATTCTGGTTTCGGTAACTGTATTAAAAATATTGGGTTTCCTTTCGTTTCGTTTAGCTAATAGTCTCTGCTTATGTTTTCATCTTTCAAGTGCTTTATTGCTTAAATAATTATAATATATAATAATTAGTAATATAGTTATTTATGAATTTTATATCGTTTTTGTTAGTTCTACGTATTATTATTGTTTACCCTCACTCACGTGCCAAAGTACTCGTAATCGTTACAAATTCGCAGAGGCGATAAATGTTATACGTCATGTAAATTTCGTTTACCATTACGCATTACTTGAGATAAGTTTGTTATATTTCTAATTTACATAGTAATGTTAAATATTGGCTTTTAAATATTTATCAGTCAATGTAAAATAATATAAAAATCAGCGTAGGAAGGCCTCCCACAAGGTGGACGGACGACCTAGTAAAGATCGCTGGGACTCGTTGGATGCAAGCCGCTACTGACCGGTCCAAGTGGAATTTAATAGGTGAGGCCTATGTTCAGCAGTGGACGTCCTACGGCTGAAATGATGATAATGATGGTTTGAACTAAAATTCTGGATTTACTTTAAACTATTTCTTTGTTTTAATTTTATTAAAAACAATTTATTTCCTTCAGATCGTTTTATATTTTTAAAGTTTTAACCTTTCAATGGTTTCCTATATCTCATGTATGCAAGAAAAGCAGCCCTTTGCTTTTGTAGCTGTATTGCATTTATTTACTCGGTAAATTGTGTTGTGTAAAATGTTTACTTTATTAATTATCTACATATCAAATAAAAACAAGAGTTCATATTTAAATCCAAATTACCACCATCCCTTTAATTTAATATAATTATTTTTTTGATAAATCTCGATTCCAACTTTAAGGAACAATGATAGATTATTAGAATTTGATGATGTATATAAATGATGTGTAAAATCTTATTGAGTATGTTCATAACATTGTGTAAAAACATGACTTGAAATAAACTATACTGAATATAGTATATGACCTATAATGAATATAGCTGTTGAAAATGTCTCGAAAGTGTTCGGTACGTTTTTGTATAAATTATCTCATGACATATTCAATTAAATACCGAATTGTGGATTTTGAAACTACGAATTTTAATCCAAATTATGCCTTTGCGATGACTAAATGACTACTGATAAATGAAAAGTATGTTTCTAATGTCGATGATTAAATAATTTTGATTTTGATGCGATGGGTTAATTTGCACTCTTCCTTAAAATTCAACTGGAATTGTAAAGAAACACCTCACTGAAATGTTTCAGGTTGTCTTGGATATTGCACGCGTAAAATTTTTATACAATCAGGGCATTGCACTATCTGATAATGAGATAATAAAACCTAAAATATGTTAATGACACCTGCAACGATAACAGCAATATTGAACGTGCCAGTATATGATCTCTAATCACTATGGCGACTGTGGTTAATTGTACATGACACATTACGTCCGTTTTATGCTCGGGTTAGCCAAATAATGCAGTGCACTATAATTAAGGCATACGAAACGATAAGTGCGTTTGTTGCATTAGGTCGTTCTGTTTAGTCATATATCGATCATTGCACTAATAAATTGTTGTTTAAATATGTTTAGTTTTAAGATATAAAGTACGTATATCTATAAAAGGACGTGTAGGCCTCTTGTAGAATAAGACTTATTAGAAATGAAAAAATATTATCATCACGTTAGTTACTTATACAGGGAGGCTTTTCTAAGTGTATCCATTTTTTTATTAAATTCTAAACATAAATAATGTTATATAAAAATGACAAATATTTAAAATCACTCGTAATTAATTAAATAAATTCATTTGAACTTATCTCAAAAAGTGTGTGATTTATGGGCAACTCATTTATTTTACGCGCGATCATTCATAACTAACACGCACACAAGTTCCTTTAAAAAGTAAAGTAAAGTAAAAAAGTAACAGCCTATACATGTCCCACCGCTGGGCAAAGGCCTCCTCTATGCAGAGGGTATCAGGGCATAGTCCACCACGCGGCCCCACTGCGGATTGGCGGACTTCACATGTCTTCGATTTTGTTTGTTAAGATTTCGAAAATATGCAGGTTTCCTCACGATGTTTTCCTTCACCGCGGAGCACGTGATAAGTCAGCGCTTAAAGTTAAAAACTTCATTGGTGCCGGCACCGGGGATCGAACTCAGGTTGCTCTAGTATATTAAATTAAAGGCGAGCGCTCGGACACTGAGCTATCACGGCTCCTTTCAAAAGTATACGACGCATTTATGAATGAATACCGCAACAAGTTCTGTTTTTCGTTTTCGTTAGTTCGGGAATGGAATAGCAATTTTTTTTGAAAAAAAAGTTTGTTTTACGTCAATAAACGATTATACTACCGAGTCTGAGCCTCCTGTGTAAATTTGGGCACTTTATATCATATCATTCTATGTCCTTTTTAACTTTTTATTATACAATAGAAATATTGGGAGCTTTATTGCTTCCAATCTTCACCTAAAAAATGGAATATTAAAGTGGAATGCACCTTACAGGTCCACCCAGTCTTCCGTTATACGGTGCGTATTGGTTGCTGTTGGCAAAAGTCTACAACAATTTAGCAGCTGCATGTATTAAATTTTCTGAGGAATATAAGACGAAGGTCCTGGGAATGAGTATTGGAGCGGTGCCAGTAGTTATAGTGAACGATGCCAAACTGATCAAAGAAGTACTTAATCGCGAGGAGTTTGACGGTCGTATGGACATTATATTGGGCCGTTTGAGGTCTTTTTGGAAAAAACTTGGTAAGTTATTATTATTTACGTGAAGACTTATTTTTTACTATTTCATGTATGTTAGGGTTAATGCCTTGTTAGCTTTCCTTGGAAGTAGTAATTTATCATCATCATCATTTCAGCTTGTTTGAGTCCACTGTTGGAACATAGGTCTCCCCCGCAAAATTCCACACGGCACCATACTGAGCTAGCTACCTCCATCACACTTGCACAGATCGTCACTCCATCTAGTGGAGGATACTCCTACACGAAAATGGCCAATGCGAGGCTGTCACTCGAGATCCTTCCTTTCCCATCAGTAATCGATTCTTCGAGTTATATAGCCTGCCCATTGCTACTTCAGCCTAATAATAGTACAGCTTGAAGTAATACTTATAGTTCTATAAAATATTTTTTTATAAATGTTATCGTCTTTTATTTTTTTATATTAATTATGAATGAAATTAAGATTCAAATGTTCCTTTTTACTGGATTAAATCCAACCACAAAATCTGTGAAGTTAACCTCAGTCGTCAGAAGAACTTTTACTGTGGTGGGGCCACGCACTTCACTGTTCCACGAATGTGCAGGTCTGTCCGGATAAGTACCACTACCTCACAGAAGCAATATCAAATTCTACTTTACGCCTCTCTACCGGCTTATTATTCCCGATACATAAGAAGATGCTTCTAGTTCAGATTCAATTTGACTACATTGTATTATTTCTTCTAATCGAAACCTGACGTTCTTAAGAAGTAATTCTTATAATATAATTGATTTTTATTATGGATATAATGAACGTGTATACAAAGAATTTATATTTTATGTTGTTGGTCATAATAAATTGTTTTTGTTTGAGGACATCAGGAATATTTTTCACGGACGGATACTTTTGGCAAGTTCAAAGGAGGTTTACCCTCCGATACATGCGTGATTATGGCTTTGGCAGACGCGATGAAATTTTGGAGACAACGATTGCTCACGAAACCAAAGAAATGCTTAATATAGTCATCAATGGGCCCAAATACCACGCCGAAAACGTGAGTAAAATTAATGCTAAACTGAAAAAACGGCTAAGTACGAGTCGGAAGGGTTCCGTATCATTATCTAGTATCTAATTGTATTTGTATCAGCGCCCATACAACTCATAGGACTATCTTAATTGGCGTCAAATATGTATGTATGGGGACATCCTTTAATTTTGAACTTTCTTATTTTTTGTATATTTACATTTATTTGTTCTTGCCAAATTTCGTGATTCTAGGTCAACTACCATATAGGATTTCGATTCAAAGTCTATAGGGTCCTTCCAATTGACCTAGAATTGTCTATTTAGTGCAAGGTGAAGCAAGGTCACACACAAGTAAAGGAAAACTTCCGAAAAATAAAAAAAGTTGAAAATTAGGTTAAATTTTGGTACCTACAAGTTTTCGCGAAAATCTAAATTTGCCTATATCTATTTGTCGTGTTGACTCGGGAGCTCGATTTATTATTTAGTTATATTATACACCTAATAGGGCCTATACCGGTATCTGGTATAAATTTGACCTTGCTATGTCCACCCGATCTTGAGAAAATCGGTGGTGACACTCGTCCGAATGACAAGAGAGTGATATTATAAGGATTCCTTTTTTACTTTTTGAGGTACGAAACCTTAAAAAGAAACTGAGATGGAACTGAAGAAATTATTTCTTATGTAAATAGGACTATTATCCAAAAGCCGATTTTAACAGTGTAGTAAACTGTAAATAAATAACTAATAAATAAATAAGATGAACAGTTTGGATTTCAAGTCCTAATCTAATTTTAATAATCAGTGTTCATTAATTACATTAGCAACATGAAACTTGCGGTAGCATTTAGATACTTCAGTTGACTATAATAGCATTAATTCAATTGCGAAATAAAGTGATTAACTAGACTCTACGTCATATTTCGATAAGTAAGCATATTCTATATTTTTTGATAGTAAGTACTTTAATGCTATCTTTTATAGAATAATAATTTTACAATGTAAAGAAATTTAGTTTAAAGCCATAAGAAATATTTTAAACATATATAGCTTTAATGTCCAATTCAAAATTTAGGTCACGGAATAGCGAAAGTCTACGATTAGCTTGAAGCTCTTTAGGGTATGTAAAGAGGGTTTAAAGAGGCTTCAGGGTTCATTCAATATCGATAAAGTACCTACATTTATGCTTTAGGTAGGAAACAGTATTATCTGTAATTTTTTTAACCATTACGTAAAAAGAAGAAATGTACCTATCAACTTCTAATGATTTAATAAATGATTAGAACGTTAGTCGATATCGACTTTATCATAGACGTATAGTGATAAAATTCCTACTCAAGGAAAAATTTGAATTGGTTAAACATTAGCATTTTGTACTATTTCTGTTACGACAATGAAATAGCTAAAAGAAAGAAAAATTATATTTAATGTATAATATGTTTGGCTTAGCATGTATTTATACGGTAGTATCCATTATCCCGTGCATATAAATTAGAGGGCTTCAAGCCATCTTTGTACAGAATAGAAAATCTTATTTTTAAACAAACTGCCAGTTCTGCAACAATTTTAAACTTACTTAAAACGTTATAATAACTGTGTTAGGGCCAACCTGGTCTTCGCTGTTGAATGTGTGAGACCGGCGTGAAGTAGAACTGTTATACTTCTAAGTTTCCTCTGGTGAGCTAACTAGAGCCCACTTTATTAAACGGTGGCAACGCATCTGCAACCCTACGGGCGTTGCAAATATCCAATACAAAATATCCATGGCCGTCGGTTATCACGTAAATCAGGTGAACTACTAGCTCGATTACCAAGTTCTCACTGCAACATACAAAAAAGTAATGATTTAAGGTAGGTATATTTACCAGTATATGTGACAGAGTAACCTTATAAAAATGAATTTAAAATTACATGAGATATGTCTATTATTTAACCCGCAATTATCATTATTATTATTACTGCTGATTTACCACATATTCGCTGAAAACAAAAAAATTAAGGTAGATGACCTGTGTAAATGCCGTGGACATCTGCATAGGGAAGGCCACATTTAAATAATAATTTACAGTGTTTGAATCTATTGTAGATGATTAATATCTATCTAAAAGAAAACCTATTTATATAACAATATACTGCTCTAGTTTTATATTAACGGACATTCTTTAGAAAGTACTGTAAGACGACCGCTATGGGGTTTTACCACTGAATATTTCATTTCAGTAAGTTTAACGAAAACGGCGTACTACATCGATACTATAGAATTAGTTGAACTGCTATCGAATTAGTTAAAGTTGCACTTTACAATTGAATATATTTGAAAAAAGAACCTTTAACTCTACTTAATTCATACTTATTCGGATATGCGTGTAAGCGCCCCATTTATTAGCATATCAATCAACGTTTATGCAAATAAATTATGTAATACGCATCACCATTTAGACATATAAATCACGGACTAGTAAAATAACAGAACTCCACCCCTGAATATGTAGTGAATGTATAGTGAAGCATGGTAAGTAAGCCGAACCATTTGTACGTATGTCCGTGTATATGCCTCACTTACACGTTTAAGTCATAGGAAGCGGACAGCCCGCCGTTACGCGGCACGATGGCGTCTATAACTATATAGACTATACTGTTTACATCAAGTATTAAAAATAAAATGGGATAAATGTCAGATTGACATTTTAAAGGCGACCTGATATTTATTTAGAATTTATTTACTTTGTTTAGTTTAATTTAATATTAATTTATTAATAAAATATAAATTTTAATCTATATATTTATATAAAAATTTCGTGTAACGATGTATGTTAGCGATAAACTCCGAAACTACTGAACCAATTTTTATCAAATTTTGTAAGCATTTGTCATTTGGTCCAACTTGGTCGATAGGGTTTTCATCTCAATTATTGATCTCAATATTTGTTATTACAAATTATTTGTTTATTATATGACAAAGAGCTATCTGTGAGTCCCATAAGATTCTAACAGATGGTTAACGGTGTAAGATAAATTTATCGGCTGGATTGAGTAAGTATCCGATAGATGGAGCTATGCTAAAAGTAGAAACGTATGGACCCGGTAGAATTGGCGCAGACGAAGTTGCGCGGGCCAGCTAGTTTATATATGTATAAATTATTAATTTATTTAGTTTATTCTTCATCTTTTTTGTACCAGAACATAAATGTGTAAATAATTATTTTCTTCAAAAACATAATTCTTTCATGTTAAAATGCATGAGATGTAATTAAATGTGGTCAATATGCATGCTAATAAATTTCAGCGTACCGGAGTTACGGACTCGGATACAAGGCAGTATAAAACTTTACTCATACGTGGCTACAGTTTGAATGAATTCTAAATTGTAATCAAAAATAGACTTTAAATTAATAACGGCTTCTTAAAAATATAACTTTATGGACATTTTATAGGAGAAATGATAATGAATAATCTCACGACAGTGTTTGATAAACAAAAGGGGCATCTTAAGGGACTTTTATGATAAGCCATATTCTATCGTCATCTTGTACCATTTTATTTGCCTAGTTTTCTATGATATTACTTTTTGGCAAGTTTATCAAATCACTTTATTCGATTTTTCACGTACACTAATCTAATCTTTTTAAAATATCTGTCACGATACATTATATAATAGGAACATACATAATAAGATACATACATTCTATAATAAGTGTAACAACCTTAATTCATCACTAAGTACATAGTAAAAAACAAAGTCGTCCCGCTGTCTGCCTGTCCCTATATATGCTTAGATCTTTAAAACTACGCTACGGATTTTGAAGCGGTTTTCTTTCATAGATAGAGCGATTCAAGAGGAAGGTTTATGTGTAATAATGCATAATATAGTAGAGAAACTATGATAATTTTAGAGATTTGCTAGTTTAGAATGAAATAAGCCTTTTTTTTCAAATAGGCAATAGTTAGATATTAACGTAATAATTTAATAATTTTAAAGTTAGATATTACAGCACTAGCAATTTAATTGTGGACATATAGAATAGCGCTCAGGTATCCCTTTCCTGTCGTACCGAAAGGGAGTTTTGGGTTTATGGGTGATGGGGCCCTGATTTCCAAGTGAAGTGTCCTCGGCGATAAGCCCAGTACGGTGTGAGCCTGTATTGCTACAGCTGTAAGCAGGGCCAGATTTAGAGGTCTAGAGGCCCCGGGGCAACAAAGAAGCGAAGGCCCCTTGGCAACAAATTATTTTACAAATAAAATGAACAATTTTTTTCAGTCGAATTTTCCAATAAATAATTTATTGTGAAAGCAAGTATAGATTCTTTTATTATTTAACGAACATACAATTATAATCGGAAACAAGAATTAACTAAAATTAAAGTATATCGTTAACGGACGGAACCTTCTCAGCTTTTTTCGCCAAAATATCATTGATGATTTCGCTGAAATCCAGTTCCCGAAGCAAATCTAATATTAAGAACATTTCTCTTAGGAGAATTTCCGAAGTTGTCGTCCATATTGATAGTAAATTATGCTTTCATTGTCACATCGATAAAATCTGTATGTAAAAAAGCTTTTAAGAATTAAGATTTCATCCTGCGCAATTCGAGCAATTTCAAAAATCCTTCGACTAGCATAATTTTATATAACACCTTCGTTCGCAATGGGTTGGCGTACTGCAGCGTTGTGTGGGTGGAACCCATTTTACAACGTTTATGTGAAAAGACTAGAAAGCGTCCAAAAACGTTTTATTTGGCATCTCGCGTATAAATATGGTCTAGCAATAAAACTACCCAACTATACAATATACAATACAATATCAGCCTATTGCCGTCGACTGCTGAACGTAAGCCTCCCCCAAAGTGCGCCAACTATCCCGGTCCTGGGCAGCCCGCATCCATCCGTTGTCCGCCACCTTTCTTAAGTCTTCAGTCCATCGTACTGCAGGGCGTTTCCCTAGCCGTTGTGTCAACTCTAACACGTGTCGGCTCCAGCGACCATCAGTACCGCTGGAGACATGGCCAGCCCACTTCCATTTCAGCGTGCTAATTCTGGGCGCAATGTCGGTAACTTTAGTTCTCTGGCGAATGACTTCGTTTCGTATCTTGTCTACCAGAGAAACCCCAAGCGTCGCGAGTCCTATCAATCTAGCAACCTTGAATTTGTGGACCAGCCTCACGGTGAGTCTCCACGTATCTGCTTCGTAGGTCATTGCTGGTAGGACACACTGGTTAAATACTTTGGACTTGAGGCATTGTGGTATTGACGACTCAAAACTGTGTCGTAGCTTCCCGTATGCCGCCCAGCTTAAGCGTATTCTTCGGTTGGCGTTCCATGAGATTTTGTGAGTTTAGACAGGTGACAGCAGGTTTGAAACTTAGCAGAGACTTTTGTGCCCCATTGGGCGATATTACATTTTCAATCTCTTGGGTCTTCGCTCGTCTACAATCTCGCCTTATCAGTTTCTTAAACTTCCTATTAAGAACCTGACGCTCAGAAGGTGTCGCAAATATTACCTCTCGTCTCTTCTTCATCTCCTCCAGAGCCTCGCTTGCGAGCTTCGACTTTCGTCCAGTGCTCTTCCGTCGAAAATATTTTATTCCCACTTCGCGGAGGGTCCGCGTCAGACTATTGGGGGCGTCGTAAATGTCCTGCATGTTTTCCAGCAAGGCGAATCGATTTTGTAGCTCTGGCTTAAACAACACCCATTGAGATTTTGATATTTTAGTGATTGCCTGATTGGAGTGAACAAATGAAGATCGATGATTTCTTTTAACATTTAATGTTTGTATAAAGTACTGTAGGTAAAGGTAAAACTCGAAAAAAATAACATGAAAGGAAAAGTATTTTACTAGTGTTTCATTATCATCATCATCATTTCAGCCTGCTAGAGTCCACTGCCGAACATATGCCTATCATATTATATAGGAACATATCCCCCATACTGCCACGAAGTACGATCCTGAGCCACCTGCATCCATCTTGTACTAGTGTACAATTATATACTTCTCTACGCTTTTTGCATCAAATCCTGTGTTCGTGGTATATCAAGAGGGGTATTGTAATTCCAATGAAACTTGGTTTTTACTTCTAAACTCTTGTATTTATAACACACCAAACTGTTGTCTTTACAAATTATACAATAAACTATTATTAATAATTTATCACATAATAATAATGAGCTTTCGTCTTTTTAAGCTCTCGTATCTCTATCAAAATCTCCCGCCAAAAAAATCAACCACACTAACGCCCACATCTTCAATATATGTTTAATATAAAAAAATGTCGGGTTTAGTCAATTGACATACTATTAAAGAGTAGAAAGAGAGTCTTAAAATTAAAGACCATCTAAAATAGACGACATAATAGAAATCATGACACTAGTGTTTACTAGTCTGAATTAGATTTTTTTTCCGAAGTCTCAATTGTGGGGGCCCCTCTTTTGTAGAGGCCCGGGGCAGTTGCCCCGGTTGCCCTCCCCTAAATCCGGCCCTGGCTGTAAGCCAGTGATGAGCAACACCTCGCCTCATCCTCACTGGATGAATTCAGGCGCAATGATGGAAGCTATCTCGAATACAAGACTCTCATAACTTTGTCTTTCCCCAGAATAAGTGATGGCAGGGTATCTGTTAAGCGATCCTCCCCCCCATAAAAGATAGTATCCATATAAGATCTTACACTGATTTTGCACATGTAAAGTGTACCTAACCAGAGAAAAATTAAGATGAAAAGTCTCTCAGAAAGTTTTGGGAGAACGTTTTCATGGTATGCGATAGTTAGTAGTAGGGCTTGCATTTTGCAGTCTTTTATTTTTCAATCTGGCATCTTGCGGTAAAATATGCCTTTCCAACGGGAATCCGATTACCGTTTCTCGTCAGAGATTTAAAAATATATTTATTTTGAAAGCAATAATTGTATTATTCTTGAATGTTTCAATTGAATGTTGAAAAATCCAAAATCCGCCTCACAACTGATGCAAGGTGGTATCAATGTGACGACAACTGCATAGTTTTTGCAGACTCCTGATGCTACGCGAACATTTTCAAAAGTTAACCAAACTGTTCAGTATAAGAGCCCAAACGTTCCAATTCTCTGGTGGTAAAGGCAGTGAATTGCCAACCCGACATAAAAGCGATTGTTTACAAACGTCACCCGCGCAATGTCAAAGGGGACATAGATACGTCGGACCCACAGGGGTTCCCGCTAGAAAACACTATACCTGCAGAAAATGCTAAGACACAATCTATTCGTTTGTCTGCCTACGACCACGGCGAAACCTATACAACGCGTACCCAAAATACACCCGCGTTCCAAGGCGTAATTTGTTCTATTTAAAAATGATTTGTGTACAGAGGCGGAATTTTATCTTCGTGTTACTCACATGGCAAAGGGACAGGTTTTGAAAAAAACATTATAACACCCCAGTGTTTGTATAAATCGCACCGCGCGTAGAATAACGTTCTGTGGTCACATAGAACGAATTTGATTTTATCGTAGGAAAGTCTTAATTATTGTCTACGCTTTCAGATAACATTTTTTTTTCGTCTGACTTATAGATATTAAGATTCAGAATAGAATAACGATCTATCTGATAATCTGATTTGTGCTCCGCAGTACAAGGACATATGTACGTTTAGACACTGTTTTTTTGTACTGACTAGACTAAGCTTACTGATGTAAAGACGAGTGTAAAATACTCTATAGAGTCAATTGATAATTATTGCACAGTCACCCACTTTTTTAAGGATTTTTCGTTGAAAACAGTGCCATATGCGTTTATGTCATACATATTTTATGAGTTTTTAGTAGAACAGCGTTATAAATGAACGTATGACTTTTTTTTATTTTTGGATTATTCCGTAGGAAAATGTCACTATTACACATGAAATCTCTTATTTCCTAAATTTATATAATTATTTATTGAAAAAGTATACTGTCTGTTTATATTATACCTAATCACATTACAAACCTCAAAAATGTTAATAGCAACTGCACTTTTTTTACCGGTCCGCTTCGCGTGATGCCCCATCTGTCAAAGTGAAAAGTAGTAAAAATATGCTGATAGAGAAGCACAGCGAACTGCTTGAAAGAACTGTAATAATGGATAACATGTATTTTTATATCATAATTATATTTACCGTAGGTGTGAAATTATTAAATAAATTTCGTGAATTACGTGACTACTTTCTGTTCTTAAATTCATGTTTCTGATAAATTTTATATCATAAAATAGGTAATGACATTTTATCAATAGATAAATAATAGATTAGTATTAGTTTTGACGACCCGAATGGCGTTGTGGGTAGTGTACCTGCCTCCTGCGCCAGAGGGTGTGGGTTCGATCCCCACTACTGCAAAAATATTGTGTGATGAACATGGTGTTTTTCTAGTGTCTAGGTGTTTATATATGTATAATATGTATTTATTTCCAAAAAAAAAGTATGTTTAAGTATAATTATCAGTTTTCTAGTGCCCATCTACAAGCTTTGCTTAGTTTGGGACTGGAGAATGTTGTGTAAAAAAATGTGTCTTAAAATAGTTATTTTTATTTATTTATAAAAACAAAGTTTACAAATAAAATACATATTCTTGTTATGTTGATACTCAGTAGCGGATTTACAAATTTACCGCCAAAAGGCTGTTCAATTTTTGACGCGCCTACTGACCTCTGAAAGACGATACCCTACTTTACAATCATATTAATTACATTTATACTGTCAATAAAATTGCAACTTTTTTTATTAAATGAAACTTTACGGATTTTATCGCGTTTTTTATTTTAATTTAAATTCCCGACGTTTCGAACCCTAAAACGAACCCTAAATCGAACGCGATAAAATCCGTAAAGTAGTTTCATTTAATATGTATAATATTCGCGTAAAATCAAGAAAACTTTTTTTATGTGACAAAGTGGCAAACGAGCCAGCGGTTCACTTAATGTTAAGTGAAAACCGCCGCCCATGAAAATTTACAATACCCGTAGGGTTGCAGATGCCTTGCCAACTTTTAATAAAGTGGGCCCCGGCTATCTTAGTCACCAGACGAAACGCAGAAGTAGAATACTTCCATTTTACGCCGCTCTTCTGGTGAGGTCATGGTACTTACCTGGATAGACCAGCCCATTCGTGCACCATCGAAGACTGTTGCGTAGTCCTAACACCGTCAGTATGGCAACAACCAGCCAACATGTTGTCATTCATTCCTTCTTGTACCATAGTAACCTAATAGTAACCCGTGTACATACTCCAGTTGACCGCGACATGATGCTGCACTGATTAGTTTCCAAGAAGTCGTTAATATTGACACCGCTATTATTTAAAACAAAAGACATCCATTTATATTTCATTTTTAAAATATTAAGTTTTTCATTCTATAAAGGATGTCCTTGAAATTTGTATATTTGATCTTTAGATATTGCGTTTTACATTTTATTTATCAATAAATAATAATGAGGTTTCGTTTTAAAATATATATTCTTCGATAGGACATGGTGAGGGGTGACCTGATATATCTGCCGCATTTCTTCGCTGTCCCTTTTGTTAACGGTTTGCTGCAAGTCTTCACAAGGACAACCGTACCGAGATCGGATTATCACGCTCTGTGGGACGTGGCTCGCGGCGCTTTGATGTTTCAGCGCAGCTCCAATGACCTCGGCGCGGCTTTGAGTTTTACGCCCTGGCTAAAGGACGTTATGCCCAGATATAGCGGGTACAAGGGCCTCAGAGAAGGCAATCAACGCATATTGGACTTCCTTGCGGTAAAACTTTCCTCAGATTTCATATCTATTTGTTACATTAATATTATATTTTACACGCACTGCATTATCTTCATCGCGCAACTAGAACGTAAATGTTGCGTATAGAACAAAATTCCAGAAAGTTTATACTACAAGCATAAATATTTTAATATTTTTTGAATATAGTCTTTTTCCGATGACATACAAAACTCGATTTTGTATGCAATGAGATGATATGACAGGAAAAATTAAAGTATGCATGTAGGTGCATGTAAAAAATTAAACTCCTTTTGAAATATTTACGTTTTTATAATTTTTTTAAGCTTTGTCCTGAACACTTTCTTTAGGTTATATTTTTTTAATTCACAAACTGGCCAGCACTTGACTGGCATCCCACCTGATGGTGAGTGGCGATGCAGTTGTTGATGGTAAGCGCGCTAGCTCAGCTATTGCCTTGAAGTTGCCTAAGTTGTAATTGGACGGAAAGACGGACGCCGGCAGGTTGTTCCATTCCTTAAAGAGAGCTAAATAATTGTCAGCTTATCACAAAATGACATGAGCCTTATCTTGTGTGACAAGTTTAAAATAAAAGCCATAACAGTACATTTAAATTGTTTAATTGAAAATATTAAATTCAATAATAATTATTAACGAAAATTTTTTCCAATATTTAATACAAGTGTATTGTAACATGTTATTTAACAAACCTGGTCTACGCGGCTTGGTGCCAACAACCCTAGAGGCATTTCTTCGCTGAATCATCTAGCCCTCTTGTCAGCAGCTACAGAGAAAAGTCAAGTCAAGGACATAAAATCTTAATTAAATTGTCATTGTAAATACACGGACTAGAAAAATAAAAGGTCTCCGCGTTACGCGTATCAAAAATGAAACATTGTAAATACAACCTATATGTGAGTTGGCTTGATCCCTCTACCAGAAGAATGAAATTTTTCCATCTTTATATTTTGTTAGTTAATTCATTTATTTTATTAAAACGTTACTGACAGAAGTACGGTAACTAAATCATTTACATTATATAATTAAAATGACAAAAATGTAGTTGATATTTGAAAATAATCATTTATTTTGTGTAAATGAAAAAAAAAAAAGAACGTTTGTTTAGACGACGTGGTCCGTCCGTCTTCTAACCTCCTCGTCAGGTTTAAGAGATGCGAGACACTAACAATTTTCAAGAGTATGTATCAACACTTTAATTCCATACGTGGGTCCAGATTTAGTAGGGCACCAGATTTAGTAAGGCAGCCACCAAATGCCACGAATGTGTTCCGCGTAAACAGTAAACATTAAATACTTATATAAAACGTAAACAGTAAATATGAAGTAAATTTTATAAATAGCGTTTATAATGTAATGCATATTTACTGCTACTGTTAGTGTTTATGCAGATAATCCTTTAAAATATTTGAACTGTTGGTTTTCTCCTTAGAAAATCGTTAACGAGGCCGTCGAGACTCACGACGAATCCTACGACCGCCACTTCCTTGATATGTACATAAAAAAGATGAAGGAAGAAATGAAACAGCAGAAGCGGTCCACATACTCAGGTACTGCCAACATGACAGAGCATTCAACGTGACAGAGAATCCGTATTATTTTTGAAGTTTTACGTTTACGTAAGTTCACTTAAGTATTAGTTTCTTTTGTTGCGTTTGGAAAAAATTCCGAGATTAACATTTTTCATCGACACCCACATGATGGAGTTGGTTGGAAAGCTACTGCTTCTTCTAAGCATCTTCATTTACTTCGCGGTATTTATTACCATGGCAACCAATAACAACTTATGACATTTACCTGAAATTCTTTATTTTTTTATTTATTTAAACATGGCCCTCACTTTGGGATAACAGTATCCTGTGTTGTAAGGACGTTTTACAAACATAAATTTCACATGGACAAACATCCAGATGCGAAACATCTATCTGTGGGTCGCACAAATAGTTGTCCCGTGTGGGAATCGAACCCACGACCCCTGGCGCCGAAGCCAATACCTTGGCAACTGCGCCACGGAGTCATCAAATTCCAATACAAGTTCTTTCATTAAACCGTTCCAAATAGCATTCAATGTCTTTTTCTTAAACAAAACGTACTGGGGATACTTTTGTTACGCTGAAGAAGTATAAATTCTAGGATAGCAACAAATTGAGCAAAAAAAAATGTTTTTTAACGAGACAAAGTTTAAATAATTTTCATACTGTGATAAAAAATTATCAAAGTTTAAACTAAGAAAATCCGCCGTTACCTTGCGCACAACATTCATTGTATGCAAATAATTCAAGAGATGTGTCACGTTTTTGCTTTGTTATAGGATACAGGATACTTAAAGAAAAAAATCACAAATACATATTGCTTCTTAATGAGTAGGCATGAATAATACTAAATTTTCAATAAAGCAAAAGGATGTGTTCTTTAAATTTCGGTAGAGATTTCTGTAAACATTTTTTTTTTCAAAAACTTTTTTCTTCGAGATAGTTTAAGATAATATATTTCACGATCATCATCCACTAAGGCTGTTAATATAACTAAGACATCGATGTCTGCTGAAACAGTAGCAACGTTTTTGTTTCAAAATAATTTTCACATTTAAATCTTTGCCAGCAATTAATTTTTCAGCATCACTATCTGCCTAGCATCTAATATTATGACATTGCTGACAGCAGTAGCTAATTTTATTCTTGAAATTCTTTATCAAGTCACTATTATTACTGTTATTCAACAGAAATTGTCATCAGCAATTTTCAAAGACATATTTTCTCTTTTGCCCCTCTCCACTCTTTATTATCTGTTCCAGGTCCGTACCAATTCAGGGAGTTTTCTTTGAAAGTTTAATACAATCTTAAACACATACACACATAAAATGTCATTAAGACATAAATACATGCACATTACAAATACATAATCATACAAACTGTAGTGGCCCAACGAAAACATTAACATTCTATTGGTAGCTTATATGAAATTAAATATTACATCGCTATACGTAATTACCTCTACTAAATATGTGTACTTGTATAAGTATATAAACAGTGTTACTACATACAGATGAATGTATAAAAAAGCGTGTTAGGAAAATCGTAATAAACAACAACCTATTAAGTTTATAAATCAATTATTATAAGAAAGCTCATCTAACAATGACCTTCATGTTTAGGATCTAAAATAGTAGTCACCGTATAAAAATAACACATGAATGTTAATTTATAATATGTGTTTTGCATAACACGTTTTAGATTCCAAAATTTTATTAAGCTGTTGTAAATTTTTCAATGGTTTTTGTCCTGATGAAATAATTCAAATTAATATAGCATACATATCTATTTGAATCTTAGAGAAGGATTTCGATAATTTTTTCAATTGTGATTTAACGTGTATGAAATGGCTGAGAACTCCTAAATGAGGTATTACTTAATATTAATTATATTAATGTTTGTGTCGCCTCAAAGGTGTCAGGTTTACGTAGTTAGCAGAATGAATTTACTATGTTTATAAATGAGCTATTGTTACTACCCACACACTAGTTTGACAGTAAATTTTTCGGATTAAGAATTTGTTATAACAATAACTTATAATGTATTTATACATATTAAATTATAAAAAATCAAGAAATCGGTATATGTAATTATAAATTTCAACTGTTTTTGTTGGTACCCTTTTCAACGCTATAGTTTTAGAATATTACAAAGCTTTGTTATTATATAGTTCGCAAATACTGCAGTGTTAATAATTCTCATCTTATATCGTCCCATAAACTTCATTTACTACCTACGTATACTTATATAATTTAATGTATCAATATTTTTCTATTAAACAATGCTGACTTCTTAATAAATAGACTTTTGGTATGTACAATGCTTAGAATAATATATTTCATTCGATGTATTACAGTATCGGCAATGACAAATATAATATAAAAAAAGCAAGGAAAACATTTCTCATAACCCGATTTTACACGTTTCAAAAATTTTATTATTATTTCAGAGTTATGCAAGTTTACACGTTTTTGACAAAAAAAAAAGCCTTTCATAAATTAATTGCAATGCACGATTTCTGATTGCTGTGGGTATAGCTAATTTAAAGGGCCGCTGACTACCGAGCATGACTTCCAAACCTAAACCTGTATTTATAAAAAATTATAGCACATTTATTTACATCATTTATTAAACATAAAAAAGTAATAGGCTTATTAAATACTAAGTAAATTACACGTTATGTAACAAATATAACCGATGACGAAACATTGTGCCAAGAACGCTAGTCGCATTTTATCTCGCTGATTAGTTTCAAATAGTTGAACATCTGGAAACATATTCAATAATATACATACATAAAATACTAACAAATACGTTAAAGTTGTATTCAAAGTGTAATAAGCCTTGATAGCATAATATGCGGATTTTCCATCCAGTATACCTGAACTACCAAGAAACATAAAATATTTATTGTTCACATTTTCAATTTAAAATATTCATTATTATATGAAGAGAAGTCTGCATATAATTATGAAGACGGTCATAAGAACTGCATTTTTTTGGGAAATTAATATAACAAAGATTAATATATAAATAATATAAAATTTCTAAATAATAATATAATAAAAAAATCTAGATTGTTTAAAAACTAAGTGTTTTAGTTTTTAAACAATTTTTATATAAAAACGCAGTGGACGTTGGCAAAGATTTTAATAGTTTATACATGCCCTTCTTGTAAAAATTAGGTGGACAACAGCTTGGCAACAAACTCTTCAAAGGCATTTTGTATTTTAAAGTCATAGTCAGTAGGTGCAAGGTCTGGTGAGTATGGCGGATGAGAGAGAGCTTCCAATGCAAACTCTTGCATGGTGGAGAGTGTCTGTTGTGCAGTATGTGGTCGCGCATTGTCATGAAGGAGCAGCGGGAACGACCGATTGACCAAAGTTGGTTACAGGTGTGTGAGCTTCTCTATCAGTTCTTCACAGTAGACATTTGCAGTAAGGCTCATGCCGTTTTGTAAGAGGCTGTGATGAATCACACCGACACTAGACCACCAAACAGTGACCGTTACCTTTCTAGAGGTCATTTTTCGGAACAGGATCTTCCCAACTTGCCGAGTGCTTTCGATTGTAGAATAGAATCCTTTTTTCATCGAACGTAACAATTCGGTTCAAAATTTCTTTATTTCTGTGCCCGTTCCTAGCTTGGCTGTAAGTTGAGTATCATCAGCTTCCACAATCGCCTTTAATTAATTTTCATTGTTAACCAAAGTGTCCGGACGACCACGAGATTCATTTTTCAAGTCAAAATTTTCACCGAAACCAGGTAAACTAATAACGGGTTGTGTATTCGTTTGTAAAGTTTTTTCCGTATACGTTGTTGATGTTACAGGCCGTTTGTATCTTGTATCTTGTATTAACTGATGTCTGTGCTTTCAGTCCCGAGACTATTAAAGCTTCATCTGACGCAGAACCGGTGGGCTAGCCAGAACTCGCGGGTTTGGGGGAGCCGTTTGTGCCTCGTTGGTACCACGACGGATCTCATATTCCATAATCACACAAATTTTTAAAGTATCCATTAAGACCAAAAATGTTCAAATGTAATAAATATACAAAGCTACTCAATAATATTAAAACTCAATTATTACTCAATTATTTTAAAACAAAATATATTAATTTGAATTTAGAATTCGCAGCTAAATTAAACGGTTTTTTGTTTAAAATGGCCAGTACTGAAGAACGGCAGTTTCATAGGTAAACACCTATTAATAATAATTATTCAGTATTCATATAAGGTGTATATATATATGTGAATTTGTATTACAGTGGACCAGCTATTGCTAGCATTTACGGATTACATGTTCCCAACGGCGTCGGCAGTGGAGTCGGTACTCACGATGTTGATCGAAAGGGTGCTATTGAACCCTGGGGTGCAAGAGAAGATTCACGAGGAAATAGATCGCGTGGTGGGACGCGACAGGATGCCGACCCTGAACGATCGCAGCAAGTAAGATATGGACGCACACAAACATACATACACATTTGCTATTGTTATCGGTATGATTATTACAATTAATGACAGTCGCTCAGTTGATAACATTCGGTTCCAGCGCCGCGGGTCAAAGGAATATTTGTATTAACAGTTAATTATGTTTGATGTACTTGTATTTACATGTACAGATTTCTGTTTATTTGAATTTAAATGAAAATAGATGTCGTTTTTGTCTGTTTTGTTGTATTTGGCATAATCCAGCATTGTAGTGTAGGGATGTGCCTAAAGTAAACCCCTATTTTAATTCTATTTTCTGTTTCATAGAGAATAAGATAGAATGTAGAATATATTTTCTCCTGCATGTCGAATGAGATGACTAAATGAGTGATTAATTTGGGAGTGTCCTCCGGAGTCATCCCATAGACGGAAACATAGAAAGGTTACTACATAGCGGGGCATAAATGTCCCACTAAACTCATTTGTCCCGACGTTAACCTAACTATAAGTAATGTTTTAAATACTTATAAAAGTTCTTTATAAAATGTTCGTAGTCAAAATTAAATGTTAAAATTTATAACACATGCTTATTAAAAGAAAACGAGGGTGATTTAAATTCAAAAATCGTATATAAGTATTCATTATTCCTTAACATTAAATCAAGTCTCAAGTGGCCTACTTTGATAATGGAAAACAGATATATTTATCGTAACTACCTACTTCTTATTCGACAATTCCTTACAAACAGTCAATACTCTTTGCTGTTCTAATCTGTATACAGCGTGTCGTTACAACCGCGACAATAAATGAACACACGTATAACGCTATTTGCCAATAATCATAAAAAAATATTAACTTTAAAAAAATTATTACATTATCACATAATTAAAAAAAATATATTTTTCAAACAAACTAATTAAGTAAAAAAGAAACCAAATTTGTAATATCCTATACAACTGCAACTCACTGATTCATACATTCAGAGACTTTTTCATTCGTTGCCACAGCGTCACATTACAAGCCTCTCCTTCTAACAGTATATATTGTCTCTTTTAAATTCATTCAACCCATTCATATGCTTTGTGACCTTTACAAATGAACTTTACGTTACAGTTTTATACGTAAGGGTGTTCTAAAAATGTTTATTTTGAAAAATTAATAACTCTGTAAATATTGATGTTTAAAGAATGTAAATGTTTCATACAATTTTAAAAAGTTATCATCTATATGTGTTCATTTATTGTCGCGATTGAAGTGTTACACTTCTGCGTTTCGTCTGGTGAGTGAGGTAGCCGGGGCTCACTTTATTTAAAGGTGGCAATGCATGTCCATGAGCGGCGGTTATCACTTAACATCAGGTGAACTGCCAGTTCGTTTGCCACTTTCTCACATAAAAAAATCGAATAAAATCGCCGTTGTCGTTAAGCATCCTCTCCTGGTTTCGTTTTCCAACTTACTTACTTATTTTATTGAATACATAATTACACAATTGGTTTCAGTGTAATTATTTTATATTTATTAAATACGAGTAATTATAATATACCTTCATTTTGTTACATAATCTTTAGCCAATTTTATTTGAAATAGGAAATAATTTCAATAACAATTTAATGCAATATATAGTATTACGTCTTCCAATTCGGGTAGATCATTAGTCAGGAAACTTTTCGAAGTTACTGTAACTTTAACAAAATTATTGTTAAAGAAAAGGTTTCCCATAGTTAGTCAGCTGAAGGAAATTTGATAACTGCAGATTTTTTTGTTTTTTAATAATCATATGTGATGGCAAATCAAGCTTGAACGAAATATTTCATGTACCCACGTCAATAAATTCATTACGCTAAGTCATTATGCTCTAATTCGGCATTTGCTCCTTACCCATTGTTCGATACACGTGGAATTAATTTAAGCAGTTTTGTAATTGGCAAAGTGGCTACTAAACGTGGCAAACTAAATGACCGAGTTCCTCTACCTCAAATGCATCTTTCCGTTTGCTAGAAGACAAAATTCTACTTGGACCAATATATGTATGTAGTTCTTAGAGTATTTTATGTATTTTTTTCTTTTTTCTTTATGTACCACTGCAGGGCGAAAGCTGCTCTATGCATTTATAATTGTGACTAGATTAATAATTATTAATTTCGACTTATTTTATTCCTTTTACAATTCCCAGTCAAATAAGTTTGTAACTTATTTTCGGCGATTTAATTATTTGTACAGACAAACACAGACAAAAAGACCAGAAAGTAAATCTAAAACCAGTTAATTTTTTATGTGGGAAACATATTTTATCCTCCCTGGATCCCCCTGCCACTGGATCGGGTGAGTGGCTCTAGCGCCCGAGAAGAGGTGTCCTAAGAAGGCCCCCGGTTTGGGCACATGGCACACCCTTTGTCGGTGGAATTAGCACAACATCTCTCACGAGCGACGTATTGAGTGGAAGACACCAAATATGTGCCACCAGGGGTTTCACTACCAGACTTTTTTGCCCTTGTATCATGGTGGATATTGAGGGTTGCCTCTTTTAATCCCACCGCGCCCTTCTTCCGGATGATAATCACCCTCTCGTTGTCCATCACAGCGTGATCCATGGTAGGCAGCAAGAGGTCGCGCCTAACGATAGTACTCAGCTTTCAAAGCTAGGCACTCCTCCAATCCGTAATGGGCCATCTCGTCGGCATATACGTCACAGTGTTGGCGTTTCGTTGCGGGCTTCATCCATACATGTGAAACAGATACCTATATAGATACATATATAACCGGAATAAGTCATGAGAACAGGACGTAAGGCCTCCATGGTTCATAACTCCTCCGGGGCTAGCGTGTGGCCATGGGCTGTTGTCTCCTCGCGCCAGGAGTTGCATTTAAAGTAACAACAACGGAAAATACTTAAAGATTTTAGAGTACAGTAGTTAATTTGTTCTTTTGCAGTATGCCGTACACAGAAGCGTGTCTCAGAGAAGCGATGAGAATAGATTCTCTGGTGCCCCTTGGAGTACCACATCGAGCTATGAGAGACACCAAGCTTGACGGATATGATGTCCCGGCGGTGAGTGATATAAACATTTTAACGTATACGGAAGATTACAAAGCGAACACGTATTAATGAATCATTTTGTTGTTTATTATTTTATTTTTAGTACCTTAATAGTGGATAACACAACGAATTTGTTTAATGTTTCAACGGGATTGCGATATATAGCGGTCAAAATAATGCCAACTTTGTAATCCGTGCACGCACTATACTTTGACAGAGTAATTCATTCCTTTGTTTAAGTTAAATGTTGAACAGTAAATTAAGGCCTATGGACGACTCTTTCCTTAAAAAAAAAAGAAACGCTCACAAACCTTTAAGGAACCGGTATTGCCTTTTGCAGTAGGTAAGCATTGTTGGTCACAAGAGTAGTTTTACTGAATATACTTTAATACGAAAATTGTACGGTTTCGGTTTTTTTTGATTTTATTGTATCACGAATCATTTAACACGTTATGATTTCCTGTAGTGCGGAGCTTATCTGTGTTAACATTATTACCGAGATTAATTTTTTTTAAACAACATCAGAGTCCGTATACATAAATTACTTCATAACGATCACTGAGTAAAACTGAATAGTTCCTGGTTCGTAATTCAAAAAATATTCTATAAGGCGTCCCTTATGGATTATTCTTTCCGCTTTAAGGAGTGAGGACTGCCTTCACACGTTTGCATTTTAATAGAAGTCACCGGTCACAGATCGCAGTCGCAAATCCCAATGGCAATTTTTAACGGTGGTAGGGCCTCGCAACAGCCTCGGCTGTTGCACAAATGGGCAGGCCCGTCCGGGTAAGTACCACGACCTCACAAAAGACCAGCGTAAAGTGGAAGTATGACAAATACTTTCGCGTTTCGTCTGGTGAGTGAGGTAGCTGGAGCCCAATTTTCAAAAGGTTGTCAACGCATCTGTAACCCTCGGGTGTAGCAAATGTCCATGGGCGGCGATATTCTCTTACCATCAGGTGAACCGTCTGCTCGTTTGGCAACTTTTCACATAAAAAAAATGTTCCTGTTAATCGTCGCCACTCAAGAAATTTTTGACCCCATCGGTTGTTAGTTCTTCGAGCGATGTGATGATGGGTCATCTAAACATTTACTTGTTTGGCTGAAATTGGAAAAATCATGAGATATCCAAATTCCTGCCAGGAAGGACAGTCAATCCTGTTCCTTAAAATCCTGAAATCTCAGGGCAAATCCTGTGAGATATGGTAAACTATCTGCATGTGAGTTTTTGGGAAATGATCACAAATTTTTAAATGTACTTCGTTTCCTACTTACGAAATTTAAAAAAAATTTACATACTACATTATTTTATTTCGTAAGATCACAATTATGTTCTTTTGAACTGGGAAGATAATTCTATATCGTTTCAGGATACAATGGTCAGTGTTAATTACGTAGCTTTGCATATGGACAAGGAGATATGGGGCGATCCTGAAGTCTTCCGTCCAGAGAGATTCATTGTCAACGGTCAATTAAAAGTCAACAAAGATAAGTCCCTGCCGTTTGGTGCAGGTAAAGAACTGTTGAGAACTTGTTGAGTTATGAGTACTGGTTATCTATATATCTTTTGTGATTATTCTTTTCAACGTCACCGTATTATCTACGAATAAACTGAATGTAAAAACAAATTGCTATAATTATGGCAAGGATACGTACACAAACTGATGACTCGATGGTGCCATTGCTTAGCCATTGGTTTCGGAGCCGGGGTTTTTGGGTTAGATACCCACACGCGGCAAGAGGGGGGAGAAAGGAGGAGAAATGTCAACTTCTTGATTTTATCGAGATATTTTATTTTGACATAAGCTTGGACGTCTTGCCTACTTTAAATATTAACGCGTATCTTTCGATGTGAGAATTGTGAAATAGATCAAACTCGAAGTAATTCCCACATCCAAATGTAAATGTCCTTTTCCAGGCAGAAGACTCTGTGCAGGCGAAACATTTGCTCGTCAGAGCATGTTCCAAGTTTTCGCGGCTTTCATGCAGGCGTTCTACGTGTCTACCGCCGACGGAAAGCCCCTTGAGGATCCGGCTACTAGGATCCAGGGAATCATAACGACCATCCCAAATTTTTGGGTCCGTGTAACTAAAAGGTCATAAGTTCTCGATAGAAATTTAAATATCTATTCCCATTTCATTCCTACCGTTCCTACCTTTTACTTTCTTTATCATATTAATAGGTGATAATATATGTTTCTTTTTCTAAAAGTGAATGTGAGATAGCCTTTGTTACTCGACTTCTAGTGTATTTTTCTGCGTTAGGTTATTATTAAACAAAATTCTTCTAATTAAATCTTTCTCATATAGAACTAAGAACTTTTTAAATGATCTGACCACGTTCATACTATTCAATACTTAATTATAATCACTCACTCAAGTTCATATTTTTACTAAGTTAGTATTTTAATGATAAAACAAATAGAATTATTATTATGTTTAAAATCAAATTAGACATTTAAAGATAATACGGTTTATTGTTTTTACATTAAAATTGATAAATGTTATCTAGAAAACGTTTTATGAGTTCGAGTTTATACGCATTCGAGACCGATGTTATTAGCTCTTTTTCTAGCAAATTCAATTCAATTACCATGATCTCCACTATGTGAGGATGGAAATTAATAGGAAAATATTTAAAACTTTTCATAAAAATTCTTTAATAGATATTTTAATAAGCAAACACATGCATTTAATGAATTCTAATAGTTCTTTAGTTTTATTTTTGAAAGCAATCACCAGTGTACTATTATATGACTGTAAAATTCATCAGCATTTCATTTCGCTTTTGTGTATTTATAAGTGTGTGAGCCGTGATAGCTCAGTGTCCGGGCGCTCGTCTTTAATTCAATATATTCGAGCAACCTGAGTTCGATCCCCGGTGCCGGCACCAATGAAGTTTTTAACTTTAAGTGCTGTCTTATCACGTGCTCCGCGGTGAAGGAAAACATCGTGAGGAGAACCTGCATATTTTCGAAATAATAACTAAAAAAATATTTCGAAGATATGTGAAGTCCGCCAATCCGCAGTGGGGCCGCGTGATGGACTATGCCCTGATACCCTCTATATAGAGGAGGCCTTTGCCCAGCAGTGGGACATGTATAGGCTGTTACTTTACTTTAAGTGGGGTGGGTCGCACTAAAAGTTTCCGGAATGAATAATAAAAAAAATTAAAAGAACCGTCTTCAACTTCGACTTAAAAGTTTAAAATAATACTTAATTTAGTATAATCAAATCTTGAAAATCTAACCTATATAACCTAACCTACCTAACCTCTAATAAAATTTCTTATGGCGTCTGTGCCATTGTTCACACAGGGTTGACCGGCACAAGGGGCCAAGTCGGGACTGTATGCAGGATGGCTCATAAGTTCTACGTTTTTCACCTTTAAAAATCCGTTTGTCTGTCGGGCCGTGTGGAAACTAGGATTGTCGTGGTCTAAGATGTTTACGGTTATTTCACGCAGTTCGTCAATAGCTTCCGGCGAACAAAAGGTGCCAGTTACTATTTACGGTACGACGATTCTCTAAAGCTACAGTAGCCACGTGTCCAGTTTTATTGAAAAAAGAAGAAATCACCGCTTACCCGGTCCGTTTTTTGAGCCTCTGTCAAATTGTGTTTGATCCACCGCCAGTATAGCTTTCCCACACCCAAATGTTTGTGCAGGATTGATTGTATTTGACTCATGCCTATGTCTAAGGATGCCTAAATCTCATGGTAGGAGACATGCCTGTCTGATTCGATCATACGGCGCACAGTATCGATGTTTTTGTTGTTCACAGCCAAAAGTATACTGAAGCCGAGTGAGGCTCTTGCTTAACTGTCAAATTACACTTAAAATCGTAGAAAATCTTACTATATCTCTTATACTACGAAAATTTTACCGAGTTAAATCCATTGTAGAAACGCAATTTTTAAAATGGCGCCACAATGTAAAAACAATTGACAAGTGAGATGAAACAAACTGCAATTTGTATTCTACAGCCAAAGAAATCCATCTTAAAATGTTGTAATTACTTTTTAAATATTGTTTATGTAAGTGGCCAGTTCCGGAAACTTTTAGTGTGACCTATATGTTATATGTCAAGATTTATCTATGTATAATATTTCATTTATGAAGTTAGGTTTATTCAAATGTTTATTCTTATTTTTACTCAGAAAAAAATAAACATAATTTAAGATTTTTTTATTGTATAACTCCATCATTTGTAAACTTTAGTACTAAATTAACTCTAAGTAAAATTAAATATACCATTTAAACATTTTCTTACTAATATTTTAATTTTATTTGTTTCGTCAATTTATATGTTTGTTTTATATTTCTGTTAATTAATTGGTGTTTTGGTGTGAATTATATAAGAACATCAGAATACAATGGAATTTTTTTACTCTTACTAGCCAAAATTTTTCTTAGTGACGCAACAGAATTATTCTTTAGACATTGTTAAGATAAGCCCAAAGTAATTAAAACTTTTTGGCCTGAAATGTTACTTTGTTATAAAAAGTTTAATACCTAGTGGATTACTTTAATCTAAGATGTATGGCTCATAAATCTCAAAGAGCATTTTGATATTCTCATCCATAACTAATTATTCGTTGGAAACACCTAGCGATTCGATGAATGACGTTATAGTTGATAAAAACAGTTTGCAGGTACAATTTAAATTTGTTGAAAAAGTATCCCGACAAATTCTTGTCTTAAAATACACGCCAATTGGCATACGTCCAGTCGAAATAGTTCAACAGCAAATCGCTTACGACATATATGTGTAGTATTTGTAAGTGGATATTTACATAAAATAATAGTTACGTGTTCGCGCAGTGGTTATATCGAGCGTCAGTTGAACACTAAACGTGTACAAATCCATTACTTATTTTATTTATAATTTTCTCTTGTTCTTAAAATAACAATATGATGATAACTAGAAAATGAAACCATTATCAAATTTAAGTTAAGAAAATAATCACGACACTAATTAGTATTCGCAATTTATTAAGGACTCATTATTACAATCGGCTTTAACTTTCATTTTTCTTTTTAGATAATTGTGAAAAAGAAACAAAAGATTTTCTATTCTATTAGACCAGGTCATCCTGTACGGGTACATAGCAGCACGCCTCTAATTTGGATATTATAAGGATGTGTGTTGTACACACCACTCTTTCCCGTCCATACGTCTAGGCATCGGTAGTGGCAAGTACCTACATCGCTTCTCCAGTGGAAATGTATTCGCCTGGGGTACGCGTATGTCACTGCCACGTTTTCAAATTACTGCCGTTATCAAATAGTACAGAAAGCTAATCTACATCGTATAACGATACTTCGTTATGCGATATAGATTCAAGAATGTAAGAATCTATTGATTGATAACAAAATCTTACACGTGTAGGTAGATGTGCTAGCGGCAACAATGTGTTCTACATTGAAGCAAATGATCGGGTTCCAAGGGGTAGAACTAGTGAAAATATTACTATCACTTTTGCATTTCGTCTGGTGAGTGAAGTAACAGGAGCCCACTTTTTAAAAGGTTATCAACATTCATCTTTTGACATAAAAAATTCTATCCCTAAGTTTATTGTTGTATATTATCTACTTTGTAATTAAAATAACTAATTTGCATTAATTCAGTTCCGGCCTCACGCTTTATAATTTAAAAGTTTTTTAAATAAAGCACATATTTAGCTTTAGCTTAATTAGTTACGGTGGTTGGGCCAAGCAACATCATCGGCTGTTGCACGAATGGGCAGGCCCGTCCGGGTAAGTACCACGACCTCGCAGAAGACCAGCGTAAAGTGGAAGTATGTCAAATACTTTCGCGTTTTTCGTCTGGTGAGTGAGGTGGCCGGAGCCCAATTTTCAAAAGGTTGTCAACGCATCTGTAACCCTCGAGTGTGGCAGATGTCCATGGGAGGCGGTATTCACTTAACATCAGGTGGACCGTCTGCTCGTTTGACAACGTTTCGCATAAAAAAAAAAATTTAGCTTTAGCTTACGGTACACGCTAATCATACTAAAACATATAATTGTATTCTTGTAGTGGTCGGATTTCCACTATTAACATCTTATAGAAGGCTTATGAAAATGCTTATTTCTATTGTCCAAGAAACGTGTATAGTCAATGCGTATCCCCTCATATTAGGTAACATACTTCAATTACCTATTAGGGTTCCATAACAATGAACTACTTTGCATAAGACATTTAAAAACATAATATATGAATTGAATTGACTATGTATGTATCAATATAACGTCGTTTCCTCTTATAAGTTCTTAATTTTACAGATAGCCGCAGTCATTGACGTACAATATGACAATGTCGTTATTGTAAAGGTTATTTTTCATATCTATATTAATACATTGTGACTAAATGCTCAACGTCTAATTGTGACATTTTGTTATCACTAAGCGTCAGTGATTTAACAATGTAACTGGTTTTTGCGCCATTTTTAATTTCATACATATAAGTTTATTACTTTCAACTGACAGTCTTGATTATGACTTCAATGTTCTTATAATACAAACAGCAATTCACAGCGGGCAAAACGAAACATTTGTATGGAAAAGTGTGCAGTACCGTTGCCTTATAACTAGGTCCAGGTTATCATCATATCAATCATCGGCATATCAATACTATTACGAGAATGAGTCTGAAAAACTAACGTTCCTGTTTGTAGTCATTAATTATGTCGTAACAAGCGTATGATAGCACGTTTTAATCTTTAGCGCATGTGGTGTGCGTGTTGACGTCATCAACAATCAATCATCTGCCCGCGATCTAATGAAAGATAAAAGATAAATAAATAGACGTTCTGTGTTGCTTTGCTGAAGAATTTTTATTGAAGACTAATAATGTCAGCAAACTATACTTATATAAAGACCAATTCAATGGAGTGAGTAATACCAGCTTTATAGACGAACATACATATGTTGATAAGACAGCGATAAAATACAATCTTCAGCTTACAAAGGATGAATTGACAGTTTTTACAACAATACAGCCCCGCGGCAGTTTCTGCTGTTGTATGAATAGTCGAGCAGAATACTACTATAAAATAAGTGTTTTTTTTATTTATTTAAGAGGAATGCTGTCCTTAAGTAT